GGCAGATCCCAAATGATCTGAAATCGTGGCACTTGGCTTTGGAATTCAGAATGGGATTTGGTGATGGTCTCCTTTTGATGTTTACAATAGTGCATATTTCAGGAGGGTGCTAAAAGAGGTTTACTTTTTTTTAGGTACATGAGAGCCAGTGGAAAGAAAGGTGGGAGGCTTGGGTGGAGTGCGGAGGAGGAGGCTGGCTTTGAGGGGAAACTTGCATGGGGTTTTCTGCAAAGCAGAACTGTGATGTGCCCATTTGGTCTTATCTGAAAGTGAAGTGATTGGGGTTATTGCCATTCCTAGGCCACACCAGGGCTGACTGTCACTAGTTTGGGAGGGACAAAAGAAATGCATCCTCTCTCTCTCTGCATCCTACCTCACCTCAGGTCCCATTGCAGATTTTGTACCCAGCTACTTGAAAATAAAGATGAACTTGAAGGTCAGCTCAACCCTAAGCAGAAATCCCAGGGGTCTCTGGAGTCAATACAGGAAGGGCAGGATTTTGGAACAGCTTTTGGCCCTGGGGGTACAACATCCAAGGCCCTGTCCCCTGGGTTTCCAGAGTTGGGGGCCAGTGCTAACACTAGTGCGTGCAAGAGCTGCCCCCAGTGGCCAGTTTCATGTTGGAGCTCCGCCCACTCCCACAGCCCAGGAGCCCCTGGGCCTCACAGGGGATGTAGAGTTCCCCGGTGCCCACCACGCTGCAGCCCCCGCTGCTCCTGAGGACACCTGTGCTTCCAGGGCAGTACTCGGTCCTCAGCACGGGTGTGCCCACCACACAGGGCTCATACAGGACGGCGCCTTTGGAACTGCTCACCGCTGTGGGAACATGAAGGGATGCTCAGGACCCCACCCCATGTGGCTCTGAGGGAGCTGCCCTGGAACTTCTCAGCCAGGCCAATACCTCCCACCTGCTGCCACTCACCTCCAGCTACCAACTTCCATGTCTCCCCACCCTAGCAACATCCACTGCTTGGAGATCCCCATGGGCTTCTCTCTCTTCCTCAGAGCCTTGGAGAGGTCAGGCCTGATGTCACCCCCTCTCAGCTTCTCCTTGTCTTCTCTCTCTCTTTTGTGTCTACCCCAAACCCTTGCCCTCTAGCAAAGCATCCTCTGGTCTATGTGGCTTCTTGGGGACTCTGAGACCATGCTGGGCATCTACTCCTAGTTGTGATACCCCAAATATGGATAGTCCTGCCAGAGACCTTTTCCATCAACCCAGAGCTCTTTGTGAGGTGGGGGATGCCCCAGAGGTCTGGGTGGAGTGGTGCCAACTTGTAGGTTGTGTTATCAACTCCCACGACCTGGCACTTTAGGGCCAAGGTTCATCTACTTACAGATATTCACGGGCCCGATGCCTTCACACAGCCTGGAGAGAGGAGGAGACAAGGTGACTGCATCAGAAAAAAATGAAGTGGGAAGGTGCTTGCCTAGCATGTGTGACGCCCCCGGGTTGCCATCCCCAGGACCACAAAGAAAAAAACAAAGAAATAAACAGAGCGAGGCACTCCAGGTGGAAGCTCCCCTTCTCTTGCCCTCAGCATGCCGAGCAGGAGGGCTCAAGGACTGAGTGCTGTTCTGGGTTTTCCACCACCCGTGGGTGGTCACAGCAACACTTCAGGCTGGGTAACACCCTGATCCCCGCCCTCCCTTGCAGAGCTCACCTGTGCTCCTCGCCCTCCAGTAGGCGCCTGTAGGTGGCGATCTCGATGTCCAGGCCCAGCTTGAAGTTCATCACCTCCTGGTACTCCTTCAGCTGCCTGGCCATGTCCTGCTTGGCCTTCTGCAGGGCCTCCTCCAGCCCCGACAGCTTGCACTTGGCATCGCTCAGGGCCGCCTCGCCCTGCTGCTCTGCCTCGGCTACGGCGCCCTCGAGTTTGCAGCGCTGGGGGAGAGGGCACGGAATGGCCTCACTGGGGGCCCCTGAGTCCCTGAGTGGGATGCTCAGAAGGATAAGCAGACATGTGGTGGCACCTGCCAGGTTTGAATTTGCTGTGGGCTGTATCCTAGGATTGTGACATCTGGCTCTCCTGGGAATGGGGAATTGTTTTTTCTGGAAGACACTCCGGGGAGAGCTGAGATTCCCTCCTAGATAGGCTTAGCACTGGGGGTGGAGTGGGGTTAAGCTCTTATAGAAAGGATCTACTTCTTCACCAGTGGAGGCGGCCAGGTTTATTCCCTCCTCCGCGGTGCTCCCTGGGAGGGTTGGACCTGCCCCACAGCCTGCGGGAGAGTCACCTGTGCTGGGCTCCCACAGCAGAGGCCTCCCCCGCCTCACCTGAGCTTTGACAGTCTCAATATCTTGCTGCAGCCGCTGGATCAGCTTGTTCATTTCCAGGATCTCATTCTTGCGGTTGCGGAGGTTGTCACAGTGGTTCCCAGCTGTCTGCCTCAGCTCCTCGTACTGCCGGGACACAGGAGTTACACCTCCAGGCTCTGCACTGTGGCATCTCCTAGCTTCTTCCTCACTGTCCCCAGTCTTTTCTCCAGTGACTTCCTAGCTTGGTGCTCTCTGGTTTCTGATACTTGTCCTGCTTTCAATTCCCTTTTTATTTCTGACCAATGTTGATGTCCTTCCATGGGCTGCTCCTTATTTCTGTTTCATCCCTCAGTTCTGAGACTTCAGGCTTGTTAACTTCCCCTCCAAGCTCCAAGATCTTCACCTTCCCTATCAGATCCCCTTCTCTCTGCCCCAGAGCCCTAACCGTCTGAGGACTCTCTCCCTTTTAGATGTCCCTCTGGATCTTGGGAGGGGGTTCTGTGCTCAGCCTGGAATGCTAACAGATCAATAACTCAAAACAATCAAAACCAAAATGCAAAGTTATGTCTTACCTCAGCTGAACACTTTTGGAAAACCTTGTCCCTTTGCATTCAATTTCTGAAGAGTAACTGTATACAGATTACATTTGTATATTATTTAAAAAAAATTAGCCGGCTTTAGATTTTCTGATAGTGTATGGCAATATCTTTCATAAGAAAATACAAAGCAAGGGGATTATAGCTCAGTGGTAGAGGGCTTGTTTGACATGTGTGAAGTCCTGGGTTTGATCTCAGCACCATAAAAACAAACAGGTCCGGAAAACAAGGCAGCTGAGTCATTCCCCACTTAATTCATATTAAGCACAATCAAGTGGGCTCTTCTGTTATTGGGTTACTGTGGGGAAATCTGCAGCTGCCTAATAAATATCCACTCATTTTCCCTTAAAACAGAACCATTTGAACCCAGATAGGAGAATATTTCCCAGCTTCTGATCAATGAGGTCTATGGTCATTGCTGGGTAGGGATTCTAGGAAAGCTTTTTAAATGGGGAATGACTCAGCTGCCATGTTTTCCACCTTCTAGTTTTCTCCTTCTTGCTGAACATGAGTGATGTTTGTATCTTTCTTGAGACATGAGGCAATCATGAGCCTGAAAATGTGTGTTAAAGATGGTAGAATAGGGTCTGGGGCTGTGGCTCAGCAGTAGTGCACTTGCCTGGCATATATGAGGCACTGGGTTTGATTCTCAGCACCACATATAAATAAATACAATAAAGGTCCATCAACAACTAAAAAAGTATTTAAAAAAAAAGATGGTAGAATTGACTGGGCAAGTGGCACATGCCTGTAATCCCAGTGGTTTGGGAGGCTGAGATAGGAGGATTTCAGATTCAAATCTAGCCTCAGCAACTTAGTGAGGTCCTGAGCAAATTAGCAAGACCCTATCTCTAGACCAAATATATATATAGGACTGGGGATGTAGCTCAGTGTTTAAGTGCCCCTGGGTTCAATCCCCAGTCAAAAAAAAAAAAAAAAAAAGGCGTAGAATGGAATGTTGGAATGAGATGGACATCATCACCCTAAGTACATGTATGAAGACACCAATGGTTTGAATATACTTTGTATACAACCAGAAATATTAAAAATTGTGTTCTATATGTGTAATATGAATTGTAATGCATTCTGCTATCATATATAACAAATTAGGAAAAAAAGTATCCTGAGTGGTATGATCCTGGGCAGTCTATTTTTTGTACTGTATCACATGAAAAAAAAAAACAACTGAATTTAACTATTTTTTCAAAAATTTCTGATTCTTATAGCTAACTAAAAACAATCTTTAACCAATAGAATCATCTTTATGGTTCTTATGGGATGATGGGAAACTGAGCTTGTGTCCCCTGAGCCCACTTGACTGATGGATAGTCCAGGAGCAACCAGAGGAGGGGCCAGCAGGGTGAAGCTGGCCATGGATGGGCCACAGACGGAGTCACCAGGGCTGGCTCCAGGCCAGGGTTTGTTATTTCTGATTACCACAGATCTTCAGAAAATAGGCAGAGCAGTACTTGAGGCCCTGGCTGGGTGGGTTACCTATTACCTTCAGAAAGAGCCCCAAAATATTTGGCACAGCCCTGTAGACGTGTGGCAACCCAGCCCCCAACTGTCTGTCTGGACCCAGCTCCCTCACAGCACACCAGAACCTCACTTTCTTGCCTCTGCGTCTCCTTCCTTCTGCTCCTCAGCCTGCTTCCCCAGTGCTCTGCTTATTGACATCTCTATGTACTGACAATTCTTCTGCTGTTCAGGTACAACGTGTTGCTTCTGTCTCCAGGCCCTTGAATCTGCTGCTTGACCTTGGCAATCACCACACACTCTTTGTCTCTCATGGTGATTAGTTATACACTCCCCCTATCCCCCAGAAATATAACTCCTCGAGAACAGGGCTGGTCCCACTCTTGGTATCTGGATATTGCCCTGCTCCATAGGGCCATCTTTCACTGGCCCCCTATCTAAGCCACCCTCCACACACTCCCTACCCTCTACCTGACCTGTTTCCTCCCTAGCATACACCACTGTCTATCATACATCCTCTGGACTTCCTTGTTTCCTTCATTGTCTGCCCCCTGCCTCTGCCTCTAAGAAGGAAGTGACATGTGGGCCAGGTTGCTGTCTGTTCTGTTCGCTGCTGGATCTCCAGCTCCTAGCACCACCCGATGGATCCTCAATGAACAGTTGCCTGAATGCAGGAACCAGTGAGTGGACGCATGCGCGGTGCCTTTCACAGACAGGGCAGTGACACTGAGATGATAGTGTTTGTTAACTCAGATTGCCCTCAGGGGCTCCCCTGCCCTCCCAGCAATCCCCTAATTACTAAGTCTGGGCCCACCTTAATCACTGTTTCTGCTGTACCATTAGTAACCACCCCATGCCACCAGCCTCCCACGTCTCCAAGCCCAGAGTCCTCTTTGCCATCATCGCCAATTAGGTTTATTGAAGGCTGTTTAGAGGAGCGCTTCTGGTGAGTCTGAAGGTAAATAAAGCCGGGCACCCTGATGACAGGCCTGGCCTATCTGTGGGGGTCCCTCCTACATGCTCTGTAGGGAACTGGCGTGAAGCTTGGCAGAAACAATAGAGCTGGGATTTATGGGATTCCCTGGCTCCGTGGCATGGCCCAGTGCTCTGTGCTCCTTACTCGCTTCCTGGGGCCCAGAGCATGTGGGGGTCCTCCCCTGGCCCTACCTATTTCCTCTCTCTTCTCCTCTCTCCCTTGCTCCCTTTTCCTCCCTACCCCCAGCCCTGGCCTCTGCACCCCAGCTCACCCGGCACTGGTACCAGGCCTCTGCCTCAGCTTTGCTGCGGCTGGCAATGTCGTCATACTGGGCCTTGATCTCGGCCACGATGCCGTCCACGTCCAGATCCCGGCTGTTGTCCATCTTCACAATGACTGAGGTCTCGGAGATCTGAGACTGCAGCAGGAGGATCTCCTGGGGACGGCCAAGGTGAAGGAGTGAGCTCTGAGAATCAGCAGCAGGAAGGGGACAGCCTGCTCTGGCCTCTCGTGGGAGATTTGCACAGGTCTCTGCTGTAGCTGTACCAGGACTTTAGCCATCAATATTCTCCTGGTCCCTGTCCTTTAGTGAGCCAGAGCTTTCCCTGAGGAGCCTGAGAGCCTGGGATCTGGATACTCCAATTTCTGAGAGTCTCACTCCCTGAGCTCCAGCTGTCCCCCGGGGATCTATCTGTTCCAGGCACCTGCTGGGCAGATGCCTTCTTAACCTCCTGGCCCCTGACCAGCCATCTAGAAGGCAGCATGGCTGCAGGTACCTCCTCAAACAGGCCTTTCATGAAGTTGATCTCCTGTTCTAGAGCCTCCACGTTGGTCTCCAGGTCAGCTTTCACCAGGAAGGCCGTGTCCACATCCTGCAGCAGAACAGTGACAGAATCATGACCTGGAGCTGGGGGTGTGCAAGGACCACAGTCTCCACCAGCCAGGTACCAGCTGGTGGCAGGTGGCAGGTGTGTCCATGTGGAAGTGAAGGATGGAGCCAAGGTGGAAGGACGGGTCCCCGGCCCTGGGACCCCTGTGCCTAGACCTGACACCCTGATAGAGAAGGATCTGAAGGTTGTAGGGGTTTAGAGGAGCTACCATGTTGGCCTACTATGTTCTCAGCTCTGATTGTAGAGCTCAGCCTAGAAATCCCCAACTGTCTGTCTAAGGAATCCTGGCAATCAGTTCCTCTTTGGGCGTTTGAGTCAGAGTTTTGTTTTGTTTTTGATTTGGCATAGCCACATCTTCAACTGCTTGGGCAGGTGCAGACATGACCCTACCTGGCTTTGGCCTACTGAGCTGGGAGTGGGGGACAAACCAACCCTTGCCCTTATGCAAGGGGGATGGGAGAAGACTCCGACCTTCATCTTTTTCAGGGTCAAGGGGTTGGCAAGGGAGGGTGGGAGGGACTCTTTGGATGGGATGGCTGTAGACATGTTTGGACACAGTCTAGGGGCTGGGTATCTGAGGCTGGCCAGTCCGGCTCAGTGGCTTCTGCCTCCCTGTGTAGACCCCTCACCTTCTTCAGGGCAACAAACTCGTTCTCAGCGCAGGGGCGCAGGGAGAGCTCCTCTTCATACCTGATGGAGTGGGCGGGAGAGAGTCTTTAGTTGGCATGTGGAGTTTGGAAGGGGTCTTGGCATCAGGTATTTGGGGGCCACTGTCTGTCAGTGACTGACCACCCTAGGGAGCCTCTCTCTGGACACCTCTAGATAATTATTATCAGAGCTTCTCACAGCCACTTTCCAAGAATACCCCCTCCCACTTCCCTGTAGCCTGTTTCTGTGGTGAGTCATCCTCTGGGAAGTCCTCTTTGAAGCTATCCTCATTTCTTGCTGCTGAGGAAGCTCCTTCATCTAGTTGATTTCTCTGGGAATCCTCTGCTGACCTGGCTGCTTTTCTTGACCTGAGACTGGCTGCTGTCTCTGAAATACCCGGCTGACCTGGGGCCTCCTCCTTGCTGGGAGGGTGCCGAACCTGATTTCTACTTGCAGTCTGGTGACAGAGGTAGCAATTACCCACTTCACCAGACCCACGGAGGCAGCCCGACTATTTCCTGCAAACTGCCTGGGGGCTCCGCAGCCCACGCAGGGCTCCTCTGAGGGGATCAGTCAGGATTCAGCCTGGCCCTGGTGACTCAGCTTGGTGAGCAGCGTGGATCTATTAGAAGCGGCTCTGTGCTTCCTGACGCCCATTTCCACCTTTCCAGGAGAGCCCCTGCACAGGACTCAGGGACCTATCACCTGGGTTTGAATCCTGGTTCTGTCACATGCTAGTCATGGCCAAGACGGGTAAGTGACTTGGCCTTTCAGCTCCTCTCCTGTGGAAGGAGGGTAACTCTGGTCCTGCCACACAGGGCCGTTGAGGGTCAGTTGATGACTACCACACACTAGGACAGGGCCCAGCCTGAGCCTGGGCTAAGTGTGGTGTCAATGATGAAATACCAGTGGCATCTCCTCCTCTCCTTTTGGCCATTTTGAAAATCCCAAGTTCTCCTCTTGAACTGCAAATCATGTCTCCCAGTGTAACCTTGCTACTGTCTTCTCAAGAAGGGCATTGCTCCTTCTGCGGGGCCAGCCTCCACCTTCCCACAGCCTGCCACAGTCTGTTAGAGACGTTCCCCTTTCTTGGCACACTTTGGACCTTCCTTGTCTCCTGCTCCTATTTCTACCCGTTTCTGAGGTCTATTCTGGGCTCTCCTTTTGGAAGAAGCCATCAGAAGGGACATTATCCCTCAAGGCCCCAAGCAAATGGTGCCTCCTCCAGGAAGCCTTCCTGGCTCCTCCTGCTCACTCCCTCTCTTGGGATCTGTTCCCTTTCTGTTCTGTTCTGCATTGCAGCTGTTTGGGTATAGGTGTATAGGTCATTGTGTACTAGATTGGGCCACCTAGAGGGAAGAAGCCACCTTTTCCCTTTCTATAGAGTCTCTATTTCCCAGCACAATGCCTGCCACTGAGAGGGCCCATGTTGGCACCTACAGCACGAGTGTCCCCGACATGGCTCCCCTTCACTGGCTCCTATCTCTTAGGAACTGCTGCTCTTGGTGTGTGTTTCTCCTCACTGAAAATGTATCTCTCCTGACTCTCTCACCAGCATGTGTTCCCATGAGGCCCTGCACCCGGGGCAGACTCACTCAGGACTCATCAGGAGGCAATTTATCTGGCCTCCGACTCTTGCAAGCACTGAGCTGCTTTCCTGCTGGTTCCCCATGAACATGTGCTCACCAGTCACCTCCTCCAGGCTGTGAATCACACCCGAGGTGGGTACTTGGGGCAGGAGAGAATACACAAGCCCCAAAGCACTGAGAAAGAAGGAGTTCAAGCTCCTAATAGTGTGTGTGTTGTGCACGTGTGCACAAGTTTTCCAGATCATTTCCAGCTGTGCTGGGGAGGGATGAGGAAGCCGGAAGTCAAGGGTGAGGGGAAGTGTGGGCTGGCTGGATGGCTGGGGGGCAATGCTGAGAGGGCTTATCAGGTGGAGGGAACAGCAGGTGCATAATCTTGGAGGGAGGAGCCTGCGGATCTTTTGGGGGACTAGGAAGAAGTTCTGGACCTACAAAGGAACTCATGAGGCAGAGCAGGTAGGTAGCTCAGAGTAGAGATGGGGACTCCTTCATGGTGGATGAAGCATGCTTAGGAAGAAAGAGCATGAGGGCCTTCCTTATTTAGGCAGGGTGGTGGGAAGGGAGATGAAGACAAATGCACACATTCAGGGCTTCCACCACGCGCTACATACATGATCCTGTAGGATGCTCTGCCTATATTGTCCCACTTAATTATTGTTCCACCTAATGAGCTGTTTTCCCATTTTATGGGTGGGAAAACCGAGGCCCAGGTCGTTTCTATAACTCATCCTAGATCCCCTCATGGGATGAAAGCTGAGCCAACTCACTTTTTCTTGTAGCCCTCCAGTGCTTCCTGGAGACTGCAGAGCTCCGACTCCAGCCTCGTGTGGTCCCCTGACACGCAGTCCAGCTGCCTCCGCAGGGCGCAGATGTAGCCCTCAAAGAGGGGCTCCAGGTTGCTCTGGCAGCACCTCTGCTGCTGCATGAAGTTCCACTTGGTCTCCAGCAGCTTGTTCTTCTGCTCCAGGAACCGGACCTGCAGCCAAGAATGGGGTGTCACCAAGTAGGGGGGACCCTGGGAACCAGGCCTTGGAGAGGGTGGTGGAGTGGCTTTTGACCTTTCCCAACACATCAGTGCCAATGCACTGGGATTCGCAAAAGTTAAGGTCTCTGCAGCGACTGGCACCTGATGTGTCTTTGTGTCTCCTCGACTTTGGGGACAGTAGAGGATGCCTACCTTCCCTTCAGGAGCTGTGTGTTTTAGCCGAAAGAATATCGCCCAAGAGGCCTGGGCAGGTCCGTAGTGTAGCCTTCTCCGCCTGCCTCTCACTACCCTGTAGCCTAGACCAAAACCTTTACCTCTTCAAACTTCACTTTGCTTCCCAAAGCTCCTACTGGGACTGTGAATGGGAGAGCACACTGCAAGCCTGCGTCCTAAGGTCCCGCTGTGATGCTTGGGAGACCAGGCTTCTGGGCACTCGGGGAAGACCATCAGCTCAAGGGTGATGCTTTAGGACTCCAGCTGTTCCCACCCATCCTGTCCCATCCTACATGGCTGTGTCAGAAAGAAGTCCAGGTCACAGGAATAGGGACAGTTGCTGGCCCACCTCCCCCATTTTTGTGGACTGAAGCTGAGGTTAGAAGCAGCTGAGTGGGTAGACCCTGGTCACCCGCTAGTCATGGGCACAGGGAGCATGGTCTCTGGGCCTTGCCCTGGGACTTATTCCCTTATGGTGCTTTGCCTCTCAAGAACATTGTAGAAGGGAAGTTGCCCCAATTCTGGCCAATGGCCACATCAGCAGGAGGATCCCGGCCTCACAGAAGGTTGATGACCAGGGCCCATGTTGTCGGATGAGTTTATAACTAGAACTTGAAAAAATTAAAAAAACGAAGTGTGACTGAACAAGTTTATTTCTGAAGCATCCCTGTGGTGTGGAGTGCTTCCTTTCATCCTCCCCCCCTTCCTCCTTCCCCCATGAGGCACCGGCATCCCTGAGGCTGAGCAGCAAGGGCCTTGCTCAGGGATCTGGGCCACAGGAGTGGAGTCAACTAGGGGCCAGGACTCCTGGCTTCTGTCCCACAAGCCTGGCCACCAGAAACACCAGCTCAGCCTGTGGCATGGTCCCGACCCCAAGAGCCTCCCTGGACTGGGGATAGGCCCAGGGGCAGCTGAGGGATGACACCTGGTTCAGCAGCATTTAGAGGCAGTGTGTCCCCCTCCCTGCAGCCTTTCCAAGCTGGCTCTGGGGTTGACAGATGTAAGACTTGGATGATGGCCACCTTGTGCTCCCAGCTCTGACTGCTCTTCTATTCCCTCACCCCAGGCCTAAACCAATGACAAATTTTGGGGGTCATAGTACCTATCCTCAACTTCAGAGCCTTCAAGAGCCTCAACACAGCTCAGGCATACAGAAGGCAGTTGGATTGTTAAAGCCTCATCAGGAAGGGCATTTCTTTGGTTATAACCTGCCTTGAAAGTTCCTCTTACAGTCTGACCTCAGGCAACCTTAGTGATTTTTTTCTGAGATAACATCCAGAGAGACATAACTAAAAAAAAATGGACTGGAAGCAGAAACATTCAGTGCTGATCCAAACACTTACAAAAATGAAGGCTGGAGTGGTCGATGGGCAAAGGACAGCTTGTGTATTGCTGGCCTTTTCCTTGTCCCTTGACTGGCCACCAGGTACACTCTGTAATGAGTCTCGTCCCCACTCCTGCACCTTGGGCCCACGGCTTACCTTGTTGATGAAGGATGCAAAGCGGTTGTTGAGACACTTGATCTGCTCCTTCTCATCCCTCTTCACCCTCTGCACCGTTGGGTCGAACTCCAGCTCCAGTGGGACCAGAAGGCTCTCATTGATGGTGACAGGGGTGATGCAGGCAGAAGACCCACAGGTGGCCCCTGCTCGATACCCAAAGCCAGGCAGGCTGCACCTGGAGGCCACTCGGGGCCTCCCGAAGCCCACATTGCACAGGCTCCGGGAGCCAAGGCAGCCTAGGGCACGGAGGCCCCCACCAGCCCCAGTCCGGCATGGGCCCTTGCTCACCTCATAGTGGGTGACCACTCGGGGCATGATGGCCGAGCATGAGCTGAAATTCTGAGTACCATACCTGGAGCCTGCCTGGAAAGAGCGGCACGACATGTCAGGAGAGAGAGAGGCAGAGAGACGGAGCCCTGGAGTGGAGAAGAGGGGGCAGGAGTGGCCAAGTCGCGGTTTGACTTCCCCCTTTTATCTCGTAGAGGGGTGGAGGGCTGAGCTGGGTCAAACCCCAAATCACCATTAAATCTGGTTTACAAGCTTGGGATATCGGCAGCTACTGGGGAGCAAGGTGGATAATTAGGGTAGCAGAAAGCCAAGAGAAGGAGCCAGTGGCCCATGCTGGTGGGGCCTATAAAAAATCCAAGACTTCCTTGTTTATGGGGGCAATGAAAGGGTCCATACAGACAGAGATGCCTGCCATAACCCGTGGAGCAGCCTCGAGGAAGGGTAGAGTGGGACTTTACATCATTTCACAGGAGGGAAGGGGAGGGACATGAAATACACACCCCAACTTCCCTGGGATTCAAGGGCAGATCAGACACATGGAGGATGCTCTATTTGCCCAGGGCTGTCTCTGTCTTCCTATAGACCCTCCAACCCAAGTGTCCTCCATGGGCTCTAGGTGATCCCAGGAGTTCCTAGGGAGGTAGACTTTTGGGCTGGAGGGAGCCTCGCTGGATCTTCCCCTTCTCAGGAGGCAAGGCTCTGGCTCTGTTACAGTGATCCAGGCCCCACTCGGGGTCTTGAGGGCGGAGGGCTCCAGGCATATACACTTCTCTCCAGGGACCCATTTGCACGCACGCACACACACACACACACACACACACACACACACACACAAATGCTGTATAGGAGACTCAAGAGGAGTCTGAGGATGGGAGAGGAAGGGATGCTTTCCCCCACACATGTGGGTCCCCCAGGACATGATGTTGATGGAGCTGGTCGGGGGATTCAGCATTGGTCTGGGGTTCTGTTTTGTGTTCTGGAGCCTCCCTGAGGTACATTCCAGCTTGAGGACCTCTCTTCAGACAGTGCCTGCTCTAAAGAATGTGCCAGGTAGATGTGGGTCAGGCTGTCTTCCCAGAACTAGGGCACAGACACAGTCTCTTGGAGAGGCCTGAGGCCCCTGCCCATTTTCTTTCCTCTTCTCTCATCCATCTCCACAGTACAAACTCTGCTTGGTCTTGCCCTTCCATGCTGAGACTTTTTTCCCAGGTCAAAATCAAGCCAATGATAATAATAGTGACATTGACTGAGCTTTACCATGTGCCAGGTCCCTCTGAACTCTTCCTACCCATTATCTCATTATCCCCCACAGCAACACTTCGCTGTAGCAACCATCTTACAGACAAGGAAAGTGAGGAGCAGAGTGAAGGGCTGTGTCCCCGTCACTGAGCTTGTCAGTGATAAGGTTGGGATTGAGTCCTGTTCCTCCTAACCCTACCTGGCTCTGCTGCTCTGAAGGCCTGGGTTGGGGATGGGGAATCTGCACCAACATGCTTCACATTCTTTCCCTGTAGATTAGGAGCCTAGAACTTAAACATTTCAGCACCTTGAAAATTCTCAGTCTGATTGTGCCATTTCACACTGTTCCCTCTTCAGTAGTCTTGACTTGGGGCCTTGAAGTGAGGGGTGTCATGGGAGGCCTGGGGAACGGTGGGAGGTGGAGGGTGGTGTGGGCTGGGACACTGTTGCGCAGCGTCAGGGAAGGAGACTCTCACTCTACCCTGGTGGGCCCAGGAGGTGATGTTCACGGAGCTGGTGCTGCTGAGAGATTGGCCAAATGGCAGACTTGCACTTTAGCGGGCGGGGACAGGGCTCACTGGGACCACATGGGCACAGTGGAGCTCCCCCAGCCTATGCAGACACAATGGTAGTCTCAGTGACAGTGCTGGGCTCCCAGAAGCCCAGGACCAGAGCTCAGGGGCAGAGGGTAGGATGGTTCATGGCATTCATGGTGGGCAGAAGGCA